TGATGTTCAGGTTCACAATGGATGTTGCTGAGCTTCAAGTCCTGGTAAACCGACTGAGTAATTAATCAAAGTTACAGCTCTGGACTAACAGGTACCAGAAATCTGTAAAACTGTATGCAAAAGGTTAGAAAACCACACTTATCTGATAAATTCAGAAGCAATTTGAAGCTATCAATTTGTAATTCTAAAAGAAGTTCCTTTATCAAATGTAAGGATCGAGCTATTGAGAGTGCATTACACGTCAAGGAAAATGAGAACAGGTCATAATGAGGCCATATATAGTCTGAACAGCCCCACAAGTGGAATGTATATCAGTGCAATCTACATGGCACAATTTAGCTAAATTAGAGAGATATGGACATCGTCTGTGTGATAATATGCAAATCTGTCACATCTAATCAAGTGCTGACATTCAATGACAATCCTGCCAGTTACCATTAATGCAGCACTGACCTTGTCACCACCAAATGGTGCTCTGAAATAGAATTACATTAAATCTGATTAATAATGATAAACTACACACAAAAGTAGAAAAAAAATCTAAAGTTCCTCATCATATAGGAAGATAACGAGGAGGAGACAATGATACGGAAATTCATTACCATCATCTTCAGTCTCTGGGGTCTATTCCCCTCCCACCCCCAGCAAGGACTGAACTTGATCTATAGTTTATGAACTGTATTGTGTCCGGGATCCAAGAAAGCCTCCAGCTTCCACACTTACGCAGAAGCAGCTGAGGTCACTAAGCAGCAAGAAAAGGAATTGTTGAACAAAATCACAAGTGTCCAGCTACGGCCAACCTCATCCTTTGCAATCTATGTGAGTGGTGGTGTAGCAAGGCTTGTTTTGCTTAAACACAAAGCCGAGAGTCACCCTGTGGTTCAGCACCAACTGGCAAACTCAATGCCACTGTAACAAAGGGAACAAGATCAGGTTGTTAGTTTCCTGTTGTGTGGCCTGACAAGGTAATGGCTGTAGCAACATCGCTCCAGAATCCTACCATCTCAGATCAAGGGTGCAAACGTGAACATTTCTACTGGCTGTGACAACAACTGTAAGGAGATCGTTGTTTCTGTGTAAGAGATACTAGTTTCTGAAACAGGCACCAAGGAGACTCTCACAACAAGGTGCCTACATTCATCCGGCTTTGGCTGGAGGTAAGAATCCTTGTAACTGATGAGGTATCCAAGACCCTCAGGGCCTGGGGGTAGAGAGAGGGGGATAATTGCTGGACTCTGTCTGAATGGCCTCCTTACAACAGCAGCAGCAACTTGCACTTAAATAGTGCCCTCCACACAGGGTGTTGTCTCAGAGCACTGAGTGATCTCGGAGAACCAGAGTTCCAGTGAGTAGATCCCAAGATAAAGCTGATCTTCTGTGACATTGTGAGATGGACCCAACAGCACAGCATACGTGGTGACAACGGAATGAAGCACCATGAAGCCCTGCGCACACCACACACTCACAGTGCAGGAGTCTGGCTGGTGGGTACATACAAAGGCAGCTTCCAAAGTCACCTGTGAAAAAAGGGTGTGCTTTTTTTGGTTGATGTCCTCTGATGTTTTCGGGACGAGTGAAGACCTCAATCCTAGCGCATGGAAAGGTTGCTGAGAATGAAGAAGTCCAATTTCACTGCTGTCACCAAACATCCAATGGTTCATTAACGGGCCTAATGTTGGACAGGGCTGTGATTTCTCCTAGCTTGTTTGCACACGGACTGTGTGTGTGTGTGTCTCTCTCTGTGATTGAAATATTGACCAGCAGAGATCTCTAGTTAAACGTTAAACACTTGCTGGGCACCTGATGGCTTCAGCTCCCCACACAATTTGACATAAACCACAGCACAGATTTCTCAAAATGTACCCGACACATTGTTACTAAAGGTTTTTGCTGGTGTCAAAGAGCACATTTATTTTACATTGTTCAGTAAATTTTCTTCTGTTGGAATTGATTTTCTATCACCTCTTATTCCCTTCACCGTTTGTAAAGCTACTTTTTCTATCAATGCCTTGTGCAGTACCCCCCCCTTGCTGATAAGGTTTTATCTCTTTTGACAAGACATTGATTTACAAATTCTGCTCTGTCTGATCACATCACTCTCATAGTGAGTATTTTCTACCTTTAAAGTTTCTGTGGCCTGCCTGTTTGCACAATGAAGTTACATGGCAAGTCAGGAGTACTTCTCTCAGTGTTAAGCACACAAAAAAACTGCTTAAAATGCAGGTAGCTGAACTGACTAAATTAGTCAGAGACAAACCATAGGCAAAACTGAGAGCAGGCATCAAATACGGATAGTACGCCACGTGAAGAGTCCTGTACTTGGGTTGGGTAAAAATCAAAGGTTCTACAAGCTAGAGTCAAACAAATATGCAAGACACGAGGGGAGATGGAATACTACTTATATTAAGCCAAGCAGCCAACACTGAACAGGAACTGAGCATTTGCAAGATCTCAGACAATCTCACTGAAGTGAATACATGTTTGAAAGACAGACAGGAAACCTTGGAAGGTTTTCTTTTCTAGTTAAATTATTTTGTTCCTCCATGTCCACTTGTCTCCCGACTTGTACAAAAACTGTGGGCAAAAGGTCAAGCAATCTGATTCTCAAGTACCGTCAGCACTACCTACTTCTTTTGAATAGAACTTTCAATTCCTTCCCTCCGTCTCCCCACAGAAAAGAACCAGACTGTCACTCAACACCTCGGAGGCATTACTGGAGGGAGAAGTACTTTCAGTGTGAAGCACTTAGTACATCAAACCCAAAAACTTTCTACAGTTGAGTGTCAGCAAGACCGAGGCTCCCCTGATTGGCTTGGGCCAGTGCCTCCGCACCTCAGGCACCATCCAAGGATGCACACGCCACCTCACCAAGCCAGTTAGGAACCCAGGCATCTTGTTTGACCCTCAACTGTCCTTTCTCCCCAACATCCGTGCCATGACCCACTTTGCCTTCCCCCAACTCCATAACATCGCCCGGCTCAGCCACTGCCTCAGGCCGCCTTCATTACAACCAAGCTCAACTGTGCCAACTCCCAGCTTGTCGGTTTTCCCAACTCTTCCCTTCACAAGCTGCAGATCATCCAGAACTCTGCAGCTCGAATCCTCTCCTGCACCAGGCTCCATGACCCATCACACCCACCCTTGCCCATCTCCACTGGCTCCCCATCCCTCAGAGGATGGAGTTCAAAATTCTCGTTCTCGCCTTCAAGGACCTACATCCCTTGCCCCCTCCTACTTCTCCGACCTGCCCTCAACCTGTCCGCTCCCTCCACAAGCACTCAGCAGGCTCCGGCCTGCTCCATGTCCCCCGTCCGGCCTGCCCCACCATCAGCAGTCGGGTCTTCAGCCTCTCTGTACCCACCCTCTGGAACTCCATCCCACATTCCCTTCGCGCTCGCTCCCTCCCTTGCCTCCTTCAAGGCATGTCTCAAGACCTTCCTCTTCGAACGTGCCTTCGACCACCCTCCTACCCTCTCTGCCCTCCACCCTCCCTGATCCCAAACCAACCCTTGGCTCGGGTGCTAATGCCGGACTATTCAGCGCCTTGGGACGTGCTCCCGACCAAAAGGCGCTTTACAAATGTAATTTTGTATTGTATAAGCAACGTCTCTCATTTAGCAGCGTGTGTTGCTGACCTCGGACTCCCACGTCAGGTAGTAACGTGATCCTTTAACATCAGCCTGGAAACATTAAAACAAGGACTTTGCTGCCGTGTTACAGCAAAAGTCTTTTCAGGACCTGATGGATCTTGTGAAGACATCCTGCTGAAAACCACTGAGAACAGAAGATAGTGAACCTCAACATTGACAAAAGTCACAGCTCCTGAAAAGTCACACTTCCAGACTGACTTCTCTGTGACAACAACTCTGCTTCAGGAAGGGCAATCATGGCTCCACAGAGCAGATTAGGGACAGGGAGATACTGCCTGTGAGAACAAACCTTGGCTTTAAAATCTAAGGTTGCACAAACTGCTCCACTGTACAGTTACCTTCTCTTAAACAAACAGATAGCTAATATCTTCAGCCTGTCTATCACCACATATTGCTGCAATATTCCTGTTAAATAAATACTGTTGGTTTAAAAAGTTATATAAAGTTAAGTACATTTGTTTTATTCCGTTCATACATATTTACCACCCTAAGTGCAATGTTGAAAGCAATGCATGCACAATGAGTTATTACTTCACTATATACCCCACTATAGCAAACAATGCAGAATATGAAACCAGCAGGTTTTTTTAGGAAAACATTTGAATAGTAAAACACGCTGGGTTATTTACTGAATAATATTCGGTCAGTAATCTTGTGTGTGGAGTTTGTGTTGATCATTCTACTCTCCATTCCTCTCTTATTTGAACTTACCTGAATGGGGAGAGGATACAAGCTGCAAATCACAGGTAAAGAACAATACTGGCCCGTCAATTCAACGACGTGTTTTGTCAGTGTAAAGTACATTACCAACACTGCATTTGTCTAAGAAAGAAAATATTGGAAATGTAAAACCTTTATATTGTGGTCTCAAATGCAGGATTGACTGGAAGACAAACAGTCTTGATATCGGGTGTGAAGGGCGCTACATAAAAGCAAGTTGTTGTTATTGTAAAATAGGATTTACAAGAAATCGACCTTACAAACATGCAAACTCTAAACTTTATTGCAGATGATGCCATCAATTTGGTAATTAAGGAAAACTGTACCTATTGCTAAGAGCTAAGACTGTTTGGGTTTGAAAAGGGACTGAAAACAATTAAAATCTGCCCTCACTACTTCATCCCTTTCTTTCCTGGATTCAAAGGAGTGTCATAAACTAAGCAGGATCTAATGTTAAACCTTTACCACGAATGTAATGAAGCTCGTGCTAGAAACCTATTTTTGCAATTTATTACTTTGTCTAAGTGGCTGTGCACGCGTGTGTGCTGAAATGCTGCAATTAGCTCGGAAACAGAACACTGATACTCCGGAGAGCTGGACTGTAATATTCAAAGATTTGCAAAGACTTACAGAGTATCCTCGTCCTGAAAATGAATGAGCAGAACTCTGGGGAGAAAGAGAAGCGGAAAAAACACAGGTTAGAGTCGGCACTGAACCGCCAGACATTTACAACACCAGTAACATTACCCAGCACTGTGGGGGCAGGCCAACAGGGGCTGAACTATTATTGCCAGCTCCACCTGACTTGGTGACAGACAGACTTGGCTCAAACATTTAACAATATCCTTTGTTCCACATACTCATCGAGCCAGTTCATTTCAGGGTTCAACCAAATTTAACATTCTAATTAAATTTAACCAGTAGGAGTGCTATTTTTATTTCCGGGGTGGAGGGGGAGGTGGAGGTGAGAGAAAATAAGGCATGAGGACCGCAGGCATGAGTTAATATTGGGGGCTTCCACATCGCATTTCAGATCCGAAAACCACCTCAGAGATTGACAGAATTACATCTCTGCCCTCAATCTTTCAGTGTCTCTCCACCCGATGAAGTAAAAAACAAACACTCCTACTTTTCTTTCTGTATTGTAACCCAATATGCTTCACACAACACAACTCATTTTTGCCAGCCATCCTGTTTTACCCAGGATTATTCATTATTGTGAAGGTACTACAGTGTCCCAGAGGGAACTCTGGTTGTCTCATTTGAAACGTTATAAACCTGTCCTCAAATATGGCAAAATGAAAGTAGGAAACCTGACATGGCAAGAAACTGCACGAGGATTAACATTACAATTTTTAGGAAGCGAAAGTCATGAGATTTGGAAGTTGAAGGAGGAACCTGTGCAATATGCCATTAGCACGCTAACAAATCACAATAATAACATGCCATCTTTTCAATCCCATGACCTCTCACACATGTGACCAGCAAAATAAATGGTCAATTTTTAAATTCAAGGGGGCATCAAGCATATGTTTGATGACAAATCACTACTCAAAATATACTCTGAATAAGACAAAAGCAGTACAAATGCTGTTGTGGAAACATTTTCTATTCTAAGGCAGATACTAATCATTGGCTCTTTAGAGAACATGTGGTAGCTGAAAGAGTATTCAGGTATGAAATTAATAATCGACCAGTGCTGTAATCAGAATTTAATCAAATATTCCAATAATGGCTGCACCTCTACTCCAGTCAGGTTTCCAAGAGCGGCAGCAATACCTGCTTCATCAGCTCTAATCAGATAGCCTTCATCACAGAAATTTTGCTATTTCCTATTTCAATCAAAAGCTCGCAAGGCATTCCACACCTGCCAGCCTTTCTGCTGTGCTAATAATTGCCAATTTGCACAGAGCTCTGGCTATATCACTCAATTTGGCCCCGACTGCTGTTCGCATACACCGTGATTCATCAGCAAGCTCCCCCCATGACAATTAGAGCCAATGTCTGGGCTAACCAGGGCACCCATTCCAGAGGCTGAGCAGACAATTACCAGTCTATTTTCCCATCTCACCCAGAAAAATATGAGAACGTGCAACAATGGCATTCAGTGCCTCTGAAATGTTACCCTTGAGGGAATGAATATTTCAAATTATCACAGCTTTACAACCACATTCAAATTGCAGCATTTGGAAGGATACAGGGCTCATTTAAATGATAATGAAGGAGATCCATTCAATTGACTAAAAAACGGCAAGTTCTTAAGCTGACGGGTCAAGAAACAGCAAAAACCCTTTTAACCATTGTGCTCGGCTCTATACAGAACTCTGCAGCAGGAGGAACATCAAAAGGATTAGTAGGACAAATAAAAGATGAGGCAAAAAGGTTCCCACTTCCCTCAGGTCAAAACAACAACATACAAATGTCACTTATCAGCCTCTTAATATGCTGCTAAGTTCCAATTACCCCAGAGTGAAAGAAACGATAAGGAAATCTCATTTTGGGAGTGCACACTGCTGTTTTTGTGCGCTATATTGGGCCTCGAAAGTTGCACAAAGCATGTGACAATGCACTCCCAGACCCAAACAGAGCTACGTTTCATTAGAAGAGAAAAGCTTGCTTGTCTGCAAACACCAAGGGGAGGAAAGAAAAGTTAACATTACCCCCTTTATTTTTCCCCTCCCCAAAGAGCAACCATATCTTTAGGCTGTTCATGTGGTTAGATCACTTTTATCTCAACAATCATAAGTATCATAAGTGTTTGCTTGTTTTTTTTGTTTGGCTGGAATTAGCCACGGTCCCTCCCTAAATAGGATTAACCCCTGAAGCTTCATTACATAAAATCTGCATGATGGTCTCAAGCACCTTTTTGACAGCACTGGTAGATGGCCTAATAAAGTGTTTTCAGCACATTTAGGAAGCAACTCAACAACAACAACTTGCACTTGTATAGTGCCCTCCATGCAGGGCAGCCTTTCAGAACACTTAAATATTCAGCGAAACTCAAATATTCGGTTACATTTATTTCAATCAGCGATAGTAAAATGAGGGCAAGCAAACACATACCGGTCAAGTGCAGTTAAACAACCTTTTGGCCACAATAGAATAGTTGTTTGGCAGCTTTTCAATGTGCACAATCAAACACTGCACCATTTTCTCAAATGATTTACTGATTTACTGCATATTTCTGAGGGTGCTGTTGTGTAAGTTGAGCAAATTGAAACACTGCTTAACTTATTTTAAACATGTTCCAAATGTCCCCAAAGGTTAAATGTCCTACACATTCAGAAAACAAACAAAAAAAAGGATATTCACTTGTTTGGTTGGAAGGTTAACCCTTTGAGTACTGAAGGCCTTTTCAGCTTTTGAAATTCGCACATCTTTTGTACCAAATGACATCTGAAAATATTATAAAGTAGAATTAGAGAAATGTACAGGCCCAGAGGACATTTCGCATCTCATAGAAACACTTAGAATTGTTTTTAGAAAATTCTGTTAGTGGAAAATATTACTGAGTTCAAAGTACATTAACCTAGAGATGGAAGCAAGTGTGGAATACAACTGGAGGTTCCTTGGAGCATGCTAAACATGTGTATTTACAGGCAATGCAATGGAGTAGAGTGGATCTGCCATAAATCAATGTTTTATATCAAGTTGCATCTCCTTCAAACACAGTTTGTAGAGCGAGCACTTCAATATTGTTTGGAAAAGTATTGATGGCGCAGTGGATAAGGTTCCTTGTGTGACACTGAGCCACACAGACTGAAACATGGTCTGTTAAAGAGAACCCAGTGATTATGCAGTTGATGTAGGGCGAGAGTGCTTAGATCCAGGCCGTCAGGCTGAAAGGCAAGTCACAGAGTAAACAAGGGAATTTAGAGGAAACCTCCATTTGTTTCTCTCTTATGTACATGCCATTAACCAGTTGAAGAGTTGCAGACATCACAAGTTGCCTCCTTGTTCTTTAAGTGAGAATACATTTCCTGTCCCCGAGGTGGAAAAATAAACTTTGTATGCAGCCGAATTCATGCCCTATAAAAATTAACAATTGTGTTTCATACAGCCTCTTGTATCAAGATATCTCAAAGAACTTCACATAACGAGGTATTTTGAAATGCAATAACTCATTATGTTTGTCAGCCAATCATTAGCAACAATGAGAAATCCAGCAAGGAGATGAAGAACCAGTTACTGTAGTTACTTAGTGAATTTGGGTGAGCAAGACATATTGATCAAGACACAAAGAAAACTCCCTACTCTTCAGAACCGTGAACCTATCACCCCTGTTCTTACCCGGCTTCACTTTTCCCCATCCCTCAGAGAATCGAGTATAAAATCCTCGTTTTCATCTTCAAAGCCCTCCACGGTATTGCTCCCCCCTACCTCGCCAACCATCTAACCCCATATTAGCCTGTCCACTCCCTCCGCCTGTTTCAGGTCCCCAACATTGGTGGTCAGACATTCAGCACCTCTGCCCTCACACTCTGGAACTCTATCCCTCTGGCTCAGCCCTCTCTTGCCTCCTTCAAGTCCTGTCTAAAGACCTTCCTCTTCGGCCATGCCTTCGGCCACCCTCCCGTCACAGCCCCACCTGCCCTCCACCTCTCCTGACCTCAACTCGGATCCAAAAACCCAACGCCCTGGGACGTTTTTCCATCTTGCTATGCAAGTGTAATTTGTTGTTGTTCGAATAGTAACCTAGGATCTGCGAATTCCATCCGAATAGACAGACCTGTCTTAGGTTTTATTATCTGAAGGACATCCCTAACAGTGCAAGACTCTCTCAGCACTACATTGGAGTTTTAGTCTCAAATCCTGATGTGAGGCTCTAACCCGGAACTTTCTATCTCGGAGGCAAAAGTAGTAAAAACTGAGCAAGACAATACTTCACAATATTCCTTGGAATCAGAGTATATTGAATTATAAAATGGTGTGAGCATCTGCAACAGAATCATGTAGCAACTCAGATTTTTAGTACCTTGGACAATAAGCCAGCTGTACAGAGGGCAGATGGTTGCCTATTTGTATACAAATTATTTACAGTTACACAACTCAAACCAGCTTCGACTTTGGGATTTTAACAATGGTACCTTTGACAAATTAAGTTTACCAGAACCATCTGATTTCTGCAGGACTCTCCCCCCACCCCCGCATAAAAAGCAAGGCAGAGAAGAATTCTGAAGGCAGGGGCGGTGGAAATTTATTTTCTATAGTTTTTGTGGAATTTGCTATTTTTTCCCATTCAAAATTCCTAAAATCACAACCACAAGGGTTGCAGGGGAATTGTAGGTTTCACATCTCTCTAATGAACAGCGGAAACAATGGTTTCAACCAGTCAGCATTTCAGGATTAATTTGCAATTGAAGCTTTCTTTCACAGAGAATTACATTGAATAAGACTGTAAAGTTCCAGGTAAGTATGTTCAGGTAAATTCGAATTATTCATGTTCAGAGCATGGGTGTAACCTATAAATCTACATGTACCCTTCGGCATTAAGTACCTCACAAACTTTACGTCAATGCAGAAAGCAATGCTTGGCAAGTCTTTAAGAGATATACAGGCTTTGCCTGTTTTCCCCCCGTCTGGTGATATGATAATCCGATATGCCAATTAAACATGAATTGAAGCATTTTGCTTGTTACTAGGATAAAAGTCCCCTGAACATAATAGAAATACGCAGATTGCCTGTGGCATACTTGGAGTCCGTACATATGTCAGTGTGTGACAGACCGCAGGCCTCAACACAAAACAAACTACTGAAGGATGATTTCACAATTACAACACAATATAAAATCTCTCAATTCCAAATGCCTTCAGGATAATTTCAAATGCAATTTCAGAACAAGGGCAATTGTATCCTTAAATTTCAAGAAAAAACTCTTTTCTAAGTAGTACAGCTCTGTCTTCAGCAGTTTGGGTGAAGAAAAGTCCAACCTACGGAATATCTCTGAACTAAGGCCATACATTACAACAGTGCAGCTCAACAGGGATGTCTGATCAATCTCATGAGTACAGGAGGGAAGGTTAGGATCTCTGCTGGCTGTTCAGTGGGCAGCTGAACCTTGTAGATCAGAAGGCCCAAGTTCAATCCCCGGTCTGTGCTGAATTCCCTCTCAGGTCTCAGTCTCTGCTGTTGGTCTCAGCCCACTGAAGTTGCCTACTTACTTAATTGCCAAGAGAGTGCACTCAATTCTAGACAAAAAGGAAATTTCCATGTGTAGGTGGCACGGATATGTCTGGTTTGGGTATTCAAGCATGGTGATGGGTTTCCATATGCGTCAGAGGCAAGGCTGCCCAACAAGCAACAAACATTAACGAGCAGAATGAGACCATTCCTCGTGTTAGAGGTAACTTCAGTTCTGAATCATAGAGTTATACAGTACAGAAGGAGGCCATTCGGCCCATTGTGTCTGTGCTGAACAGAGACCTCATAGGGGAAATGGTTGAAGCTGAAATTCACTGGACACTGGACTCATTTAAGAAATCACTTGATGATGTACTGTGAAGGCTGAGATTAAATGAGGTGAACAGCATTCTTCATTCAAACCTTTCCTGTGATCCTGTGATCGTATGAAAATAATATAATTATGAATGGCTCCTAATTGGTTTGCTTCACAGCAGAAACTAACACTTCAATCCACCAAAACTATCTACAATGAACATAATCAGATTTCAGCTGCTTCACTATATTTGAAATTGCTCCTGGCTGAACTGTAAGGACCTGAAATGATTAACAATAAATATTACAATATGAAATATAAACTTTGGTGTAATTTTCTTTGGGAAATAGAAAAGAAAAAAAGCTAGCCCTTCCTTGCTTGACATCTTCGATCCATTTGCAGACTATTCATTGCGTTTAACTCCCAATTCCAAGTAGAATTTAAGATTAGTGTGAAATGTAACTAGCTCATTAGATGTCTGACACTATAGCCAACTCCAAATGAGCTTGGATTGAGAAACACTGAGAAACGAAACACAGTGTTGCATTTCCAAGAAAAAGCTGAAAGATCTTTCAATGTTTAAAGCATTAATGTGAAACCCCAACTTCAATTGATTTAGTACCATCTTTAAGGCAATTAATCAACACAACAGGTTGAGTCTTATGCTTCGCTTGTACTGCTGAAAGCATCACAACATCTGTAACGCTGCTTCCAGAGGAGAAAACTGCAATTCCATTTCAAGCACTCTATTGCTCTCGTTGGGGACTGTGCATCTCACCTCCACTAATCAGCGTTTAAGTGCTATTAACATAACACGATAGTTCCTCCAAAGTTTTCTTTACTTCAAGTAGAGGCCCATTTTTATTCATGTAAATATTGCCCTGATGTAATTCAATCTCTGGTAACTCACTCCCTCACAGTGGCAACAGCACAATTGGGGCTTGGGGGCTTGTGTAGCAACTCACTGCAAAAATAGCGCAGTCTAAACTGGGCATTTCTCACCAGCAGTCTCCTTTTTATTTTGCAATTTAATTAATACGACTTTGTGTGTGGCCTCTTGGCAACATCAGTGCCTGTTTTCCTATCGGAGCACTGCTGCTCGCAGGTTGCCAGAGGTGTCAATTGGGAGATTCTCAATTCTGTGGGTAAGACTCACTGTTGTGACAAGGTGTAAAATCTTTTCAGTTTTACACTGGAAATCCAGCCTGGCACATTATGGTGTGTGGAATTAATACTGCAGGTCCTCTGAAGCCCTCGGTTGCAGATCCAAAATGTGACCAAGCAGCTCTCTGAGGAGCTTTAATAACATAAACTGCCTCCCCAGGTACTTGCTGCCCACAACCTACACTGCTTCAGTCTGGTAGGGGATCAGAGTGACACACAACTTCAGAAGCATGAAGTGTTTACTGCATACAATTCTCACGCTATACATGCACATAGAATTTTCTTCCTGTCAAAACTGTCAAGCCCGCTCCTGCTTTTATCTGCCAAATCCAGTCTTCAGCTGACATTTTTAATAAATACTTTGAGATGCCAAACACATTTGCTGCAAGTCCTTTTCAGCCATTAGCTGCACAATGGACAATGAAAGCCATAATAACCAATATATTATGCTCACTCGGAATCCTATCAAAAATACTTCACATTGAAAGGAAAGGTAGTGTTTTTAATTTGAAAGCTAAATGAACTGTCCAATTGGATTTTGTTAGGTTGATGTGTTTTCATGACTGCTTCTGGTTATGAAGTATATTTCAGTGAACACTGAAACCTCAGAGAGGGAATTGCATAAATTCACCTTGCTTTAACGAAGCTCTCATTTAAACTGCCATGTTTGACCACTTGAACATTAATCTGCCTTGCACATCTGATTGCGAAATGGCAAACTGTGGCTCATTATTAAATAAATCTGTAATTAGAAATGAAATAACTGTCAGCCATTGGGTTTGATTGCTTAAACTGACAGTTAACGATAGCGAGTGTGAATAAATGTGAATATAATATTATTCTGTGTGGTCAAGCTGCACATTAAGAATATTCAACTTCGTGTGGAACACATCTATGCAGAATAAGAGACACCAGAGACTAAGTGACTAGACTGCAATCCAACCCAGCTCAGATGAGACAAAAAACAAGTGCGATGATTAAGGTTTATGAATATTGATTGAAAGCTGACGTTTGGCATAAGCCTTTGATTGATTCCCAACAATCGATTATTTTATAGATTGGCTGTGTATTTTTACCTATCGGATATCTGGAGAGCGCCAGTTTGAGGCTATTCTGAGGGCACCGTCATGTTGAATTACTTTTAATTCATATTACAGGAACATATTACAGTTACTGCCATCTGGATCCAAACAGTGAAACTCGCTGCTTCTGACATACATTGGAACTTAAAATTAACGAAATCATGGATGTATAAATTACGATGACACAAAGTTTTTATGAAATAATTGGCTATAAATTATACATAGACTAACAAATCTGTGGAGGAGTTATTAAACGGCAATTCAATCAAGGGGTGCTGATATCATAAATACTTAAGAGTAAAGCTCGCTTTCTGAATGACTTATTTTAGATAATATATGGGGAATAAAATTACATCGAGAAATGTGCTGTAAGAAATGCTCTCGAGCATTTTCACAGCATCAAAACTGCAGAATGAAGCTCCAACAGTTTACAGAGACAGACTTAGTGTGTCTCTTAAGTGACACTTTTGATGTGTAAGAATTTCCCAGTGTTAGACTTTCTACTTTTATCATGTGAACGTTCCATTAATTGAGTAAATTTTCTTTCAATCTACAATCTGCTGTGATTGTGTCTAGAGATTTGTCTGTGACTCACGTGACAGGAAGATTTAATAGGCGTTTTCAAGGAAAGGTAGCATTTTGCAGTGATATTGCACCCTGTATAGATTATGCAGGGAGCGAGATGAATTCCTATCCAGTAAGTCAATACAATTGAAATCAAAATTGAAAACCCAAAACCGTTTTCTTTCTGCACCACTGCACTAATTTTCAATAACGAAATGTTACTGTTCACTCCTGATTATTGAATACTTTTCCATTTACGATGGATTTTTGTTCAGGTTTACAGCCCAAAATTACACATTTGCTTCCAGATAAATATGACTTTACTTACGATCTTCCAAACGGCAAAAAAAGTACATTTTGGAAAATATTCCATTATCGTTACATTTTTTCAATGGTAAAGTATTTAAAATACTTTAATCTCAATTCCTAATATGTGACCAAAATGTTGCAGAAAATTGATGGTTAGTTTACCATAAAATGTGTTCCACTGGTTTCAATGGTTGCATGTCCAGTGTACATAGCAAGATACAAAAAATTCTCAACTGAAGTAGTGCACAAGTTGCAACTCCAAGTCTGTAGGTTACAAAAACATGCAACTCATTCACTGGATTTTATAGCAAATTAAGGTTCTATATTGTAACAAAGTGAATGCAACTGAGCTAAGGCACCAGCAAATGTTGGATTCCAGTTAGAAGTTAGTGAATATTTTATCACTTATTGATCAAAAGAGAAGGGAGCTGCTCCCGGTGTCCTGGCCAATTTGGCTGTTTGAGAGATATTGCTGTTGGCAAATTGGCTGACATGTTTGTCAATAAACACTGTGGCTTTGCATAAACTTTGTGATACACTTTGAGATGTTCCCAGCATATAGGATCCATGTCAAATGCAAGTATTATGATGATAATGAGTAGAGGTCAAATTATGTTCCTGAAACCAAGTTACTTGGGTATCAACCTGTCTTAGGTGGTAGCACTATCACCTCAGTCAGGTTGTAGGTTCAAGCCCCACGTTCGGATTTTTTGAACTTTTCATGGCTGTTTGTGAGATATTGTTAAACACAAATTAGAGCTGCATTTGCCTACAAAATAATCACTGCACTTTTCGTATATCCTATGAATAACGTTGGGACATTCGCCTGACATGAAAGGCGATATATGAAATGTGAGGATTACTATTATTTACTTGATATGAATTGTCAGTGGGGTGGCATTGCAGATCACCAGCATCTGCAGTGAAAACTGATTTAAGACTCACAAATATTCACCATTAAGCTTTGTCAGTTGTGATACTGTGCCTGTAATCTACTCTGAGGCTTATGTCTGTAAACTACTCATGGCTTTTCCTATCCTCTGATGAAGCCTGAACTCCTTGGATCAGATTAACAGCTTGTAACCCACTCTGTATCCATGCTTCTCCATTTATCGGGTTGCAATTAATTGCTTGTGTATTAAAAATGTACTATAATTCCTAACCTACAAACCTGTCTAGGACGAGTGAATGTTAGTTTAAATGTAAGCTTATCTTCTGCATTAGTAGTTGGAGGCTAACCATAATCTTAAGGCAATGCTAAAGCTGTCAGGTTCGACCCCAATAATCTGTACATGTGATACGAGTGGGCTGCGCACTAGTGCAGCCAATGGTGCACTATAACTGGAATGCAGAGCATGCATGAGTTGCGTATTAGAACATCCTGATTGTAAAGGTGTGGTGTGAACGTGTACACACCTTCCATGCACTTATACTAAATAATGCTGACCGCCTATATCATACCAGGGAATTGAGGATAAGCAAGCCAATCAAAGGCCAATAGCTTTCAATTGGCCCACTGTCCTGAAACCCCTTGTACAGTACAGCTGGATCTTACCTCCTTATTGTGAGTTGATGTTGATAGAATTGTTGCCTTCTTGTTCTGTTGTGGACCTCGGTAGTGAATTCGGCATATTGACTGCTCCTGAAGTTTGCGGTAGTTTTCCCGCTGTGAGGTAAGTGGAAACGTGATTTCAAGTATGTCCTGAGTGCCTTCCTTGTTAACGTGCATTCTTAGGAACTGTGGTGGTTGGTAATTTTGTTGCCTTTTTATAAAAAACTGTATGTTGCCCTTCAAAAATGTGAATAGAAATGAGACGTTTCCCTTGAAAACCTCAACATGTTGTGAGAGCCATTTGTATTCTAAGCGTGGATTCTGTGAGTGCAGGCGGGGCACTAGCCTCTCACAGGCTTCAGTGATCAACCAAGAACTTGGTCCTAATCCAACTGACGCCAATTCAGATCAATGGGTCCAACAGGTCTTTACTGGTTGTAGCTCATGGTAGCATGATGTGCTGAATAGGTTTGAGCAAGCAGTTAACCAGAATAGAAATAGTTTGACAGGTATTGTTAAATTTCAGTGCAGACATTTAGTTCCGTCTCTGTGAAGGTACAACAGGAAACAGTAGGTGACACAAACGGATCAAGTCTTCAGAACAAAAATAGAGAGCCTTCCATTTGCAGACTTAAAAGGTACCAATGAACTCCGAGTTTGACCACACAAAACCATTTTAATAGAAATATTTTAGAAAACCTTTGCATCATATGTTGGCTATTCAACAGGTATAAGATTGGGCAACATGTGCAAGGAAGGGCTTTACGGTTGTGGGTATTTGTGTTGAATTTTTGTACATTTTACAGATGATCAGTGAGACAATAAGGAATGGTTTCAAATATTCAATATAGAGTCTTCACAGGAAATATTGTCAGCCAAAGCCTGTTAGAAATACCAGTGCTGTCAAAAAGGGGAGGGGGGATTTGTCTAGTTGCACCTCATTATCATGTGCACTACTAACTGAGTTAATCGTATTTTTATTATTCAGTGACAATGGCATTCGCACATCAAGGTTTTTGCAGATCCCTAACTCCTTTCCTTTAATAGGCAAATCCTGTTTAAGTGCTGCACCAATCAAATTCCCAGCAGTCGTGATGTCTGGCCTAACAGCAGAATGAAGCATTGCATGCCATTTTATAAAAACATCTCCATTCTTGACTTCAAAATCCCTCGTTCACAAAGCAATTCCAGCAGCCTGTCATCACAGTTGAACAGCAAGTGCAGTTTCTTTCTCTGAAGAGTGTACTTACATCACTAAGCTTGTCTCTGGAGCTGCTCCTCTGTGAACTGTTGGCTTCTCTGACACTGTCGTCCTCGCTGTTCCTGCCATTGCGGTTGGAAGAAACCTTCATCTGCATGACAAGAGAGGGAGAAGCTGGAGTTATGACAGAGCCAGAATGTTGGCTGATAGCGAACAGCGCGTGCCACAAGCTCGCTGATTTAAGACGACTGCTGATGAGCGCTCCAAAAACAACATGGCAGCTGTGGACACTAAATCCTTTCCTTCTACACAAGTAAACATTGCCTCCTGCCACTAACTAAGGTTCAAAATTCAGTGACATTGATCAAAATGAGAATTCAAGGAAGAAAAAGAACAGAGAATAAAATATGCTCTTTTTAAATTGCACACAGAATATGTATATAAAATGCTGAAAAATAGCTTAATACAGTCACTACGTTTTGCAGTATATTCTATGAGACGCTTTGAGACATCTCAATGATGTGATAAGATACTATATCAAATGCAACAACAACACATTTGTACACGGCCTTTCACGTCGGGATGATGTCCCAAAGACAATCAGTGTTTCAGCCCCGAGCTGGGGGTCAGGATCGGGGAGGATGATCAAATGCACGATCGAAGAGGAGGGTCTTGAGACAGGCCTTGAAGGTGGCAAGGGTTGAGGATTATTAATATTAAAATGCAAGGATTATTATTAGTATTAAGAAATAGGAACTGAGTATGGCAATCTTAGCCCATAGAGCAAGTTCCTAATCTCAGCCATGAACTGTGAATGGCAGCCAGGATAACACACGTCACACACACAACAGCTTGGAGGCTGGTCAGGTATGGTGCTGGATGTAACAAGTATTAGTTGGGGTGGGGTAGGGATAGGGGAGGGAGAGAAGATAGGTGAGGAATGTGAGAGAAATGGAAAGGAAATTTAGTATTTGAAATCCTGAACAAGCTAGAGAGCAGATGTAATAATAATAATAATAATCCTTGCATTTGATATAACGCTTTTCACGTCGGGAGGACGTCCCAAAGTGCTTCCCAGAACACACTGTAAAGTTAATTGACTGTATATTTGTGGGCGAACGCAGCAGCCAATTGAGCACAGCAATGTCCCACAAACAGCCATAGATTTAAAATGACCAATTTATTATTGTTTTGTTTTGGAGGGATTATTATTAGGCTCTGTGTGGAGTAAGGAAACTTGCCCAAGGTTTCGCCCTCTGCCTGGAATTGAACTCAGGTCTCTCGCTTGCAAAGCGAGTGCTCCAACCACTGAGCTACAGGACTCCATGTACAGACGGAGAGGAGAGTAAGTAGATTAAAAAAGAGCATGAATACGTTTCTACCACATGATTTTTATTCTATTGCAAAGGCTTGTAATTAGAAGACTTTAAATTACTCTCTCAACGGCCAAAATAAGGCATGATGTGTAAAGAAGGTGGAATGGGGAGTTCACAGAAAATGCATATAAAGTGCTTGTGCTCCTACCTCTCGATCATTCTATAAATAGTTGTAAGCAGCCACCTGGCCACAATTATACCAGAAAGGTTTCCTCCATAAACAAACAGCATATGCAACATTCAAACCCCCAGGAGCTGCATACTAAGCATTCATTAAATCAACACGCTTTGGATGACTCAGGGAATGACAGCAATTAACTGCACTGCAATGAACAAGCAGAGAGAAAAGGGGAAAAAATCTGCCCAAGTCACACTGACTGTGATACGCTGATCAAAAATGCAAATTAGAATGAATGCCACTGCAATTAACCTATTAGAGTAAGTATCAATTATTAAACCCGCTTGTTCCTCTGGCTCGCACTACTTGGAATTAAGAGGGTCATCAGCTGATTTGACAGATCATGTTCTTTTCCACCTGCTGGCTGCCAGTAGGAGGCCACACACCCACTGGCAAGCCAAACCGACCTGTCTTAATCATTCCGAATTACCCTAACAAGCGCCAGTCACAATTCTGGTAACTGGAGTTACTGAGCAGCGAAACAAATTAAAAAGTCTACCCTACAATCCAGTCTGTCACCATCACACCCCCAGATATCATTCTCCATGCGATGCTGCTTAGAACAACTCCTCTGAAGCTCTCAATGCTGGCCAGAGCCTGAAGAGGGCGATGCAAACTTATTGAGTTGGATGCTTGAGAATACCTATCACCGACCTCATCCCATTTCTCCTGAGTGTCCAGCAGGGCGCTCGGTTAGTGATGAGAGCAAGAAACCTGAGATCAAGTGCCTCTTTGAAGTTGTCTTATGTTAGGTCACTCATTATAGTACATTAAATAATGCAACAAGATGGAATAAGAGACAATGAAATGACAGCAAACATCTCATCTGAGGAGGAGCAGGAGCACAGAAAGGCCCTGGGAAAGTATGCTTGGCTGCCACAGATTTCAAAGTGTTCCCAAACATTGCTCATTTAATCTAGAAACTGGTTCCGAGCAAGATTGCCTTGCTATTGTTACACTTTTACACACTGTTTAAAATCCAAGAATGATGCTGTGTAGGAATCCTGTGGACTTTCACACAACGGCTATAAATTTAATAAGGCTAACAAACACTCCCTGGATCTGAAAGGAAAATTTACTGGAGAAAACAACATGGACGTTCCAAACTGGCTCAAATTTGCTTCATGCCAGTCATTTTATATCTTTTATCCTTCTGTTCTAGCTTTCCACAAAGCACGTGACTAAGGGGTTAAGGTAATTCTGCCCCATTCTTCTGCTGATCATGAGTGCATTTGGGGGGGAGGAGGGACCAAGAGGGGGGGGGGGAGCCAAGAGGGGGAGACAGAGAGAGAGAAAGAGGACAAGATGCTGGGAATGCAACCACAAATTGATTTTTAATTCTTTTACATGTGATTGTGATGAAAAGCCCACATGAGATCCACTTTGAAGCAAAGGAACGAGTCAATTCTACAATGCAGATCACGATGGTTTTTCCTTATATAAGAGACCAAGGAAGTCAACAAGAAAAGACGGCAGTTATCTGTCATGTTCTCTTGTAATCATCTCTTCACTGCTTCACTTCTCTCACAAACTGTCAAGGGCCCCTGATATAAGTGGCTTCATCTGAAAAGCTCACAGTTTAATCTCCAAATCATGCTGCTCCCTCTGTCACATCCTCCTGCCTCAGCTCATAATGGACTTTCACACTTACTCCATTTATTTTCCCTCCAGTGTCAGAAAAGCACATTTCTATGCTGTGCTTCGCTTTCAAATCACACGAACATTCCCTCTCATTATTAATAAATACACTTTCATTTATCAAACGCTCCATTTGAGTGCCACATGGGCCCGGGGCAAAAGGAGACAAATTCTTCCTCTAAGTTGTTATGAAAGGTGTCGCACTGAGAGACCCTAACCCCCATTAACCCAGCTTCTCGTCTGCTTCTTCTGGGAACAATGAGGCTCCTCAGCAGCTAAACTAGTACTGATCTTGTGCCATCTCAATATATTTGTTCATTATCTTCTGCACACACAGAAGCATTTTAAAATGTACTTGGGGCAAGGGCCAAATTGAATCATCTGCCTTAATTTTCCACACAGTCCAAGGCTGCAGCTGCCGTTGTGGGCTGCGTCGTTTTCTTTCTCCCTACGATATTAACATTTCCACAGCTCTCAGTTTCAACACGGGCTTGGCAAAATACAAGGTTGTGCCCACATTCGGTGAGGTTTCCTTAACTCTGGCAGCTTTAACCCAAGTCACAAGCACTTCTGTTGCATGAAAAACACAAAATGGTTCATCATTTGTGTCCTTTATATTATTAAAAATTTAGGTACATACAATACAAATAAAATAGCAAAATTCATAAGACTGTGCCCACAGATCCAATGTCTAAACCCTCAGATTTCATGACACTTCCATTCTCTACTGGTCTGCAATTAATTTCAAGATAATTCAGATAAATCTTTGTTTTCAATGGAATTGTGTATGAGTGGAGCTTGGCATCAGTTTGGAATGGATATACTAGTCTTGCTTCCTTGAACATTGAATAAAATTACACAAGTGCTGTTATCAACTGTTATGATGCACAAAGAGGAAACTGAACTCTTGGAGCTTGCTTTAACAATACAACAACAACAAGATTCCATTTATAGAGCGCCTTTCACGTCGGGAGGACGTCCCAAAGCGTTGGACAGTTGGGTCAGGACCCGAGTAGGGGGGAAATGGTAGGGTGAGGGGAGGGAAGGGAGGGAGCGAGGAGGGGGGAATGGTCAGGGTGAGGGGAGGGAAGGGAAGGGAGGGGGCGAGGAGGGAGTAGAGAGTCGAGAGGGGAGCTGAAGGCACGGTCAAAGAGAAAGGTCTTGAGACCGGCCTTGAAGGAGGAAAGGGAGGAAGTGGCGAAGGCACTGGGGGATGGACGTCCAGAGCCTCGGGGCTGAGAGGCTGAAGGCCCGGCCACCGATGGTAGGGCGGTTGGGGCGGGGGATGTGAGATGACCGGAGCCATGTTGAAGGCACGGTCAAAAAGGAGGGTCTTGAGTTGTGACTTGAAGGAGGCAAGAGAGGGAGCAAGGTGAAGGAATTGTGGGATGGAGTTCCAAAGAGTGGGGGCAGAGAGGCTGAAAGCCTGATTGCCGAAGCCTGCTGAGCAGAGGGAGCGGACAGGTTGATATAAGGGAGTTAAAAAGAGTTTTGTACTGTACATTCCACCTTAATGTTTAAAAGTGTCTTATATACAATGTGCTCATATTGATCTCATTAATAACAAAACATGCAATTTAGATATCACCAAAGATTCTGTTTTAAAGAGGAATTGGCTGTAATACAAACAGGTTATTTTCACGGAAGCAGACTTGCTTTGCACAAACTCCTGTGAAAATAAATCAATCAAATTAGATCCGAAAATAACAGCGTAAACTTGCTGACATGCCTCAAACCCCTGCGTATCAGAGCAAGACATAAATCAGCTAAAGACTTTTTCTGACTTTTAGCTGCAAGCTTCAACCTAATGCATTCCAACTGATTTTATATATGCTTAGTTTTATCTTATAATTAGATCAACTGGGAAAAATATCCCGTGTGTCTATGTGGTTTACATTCACAGTAAGCTGGCAGTTCAGAGGCTACCTATTCCCTAGATTAAGTTCAAAACATTTCAAC